AGAAACGCGCATCGGCCAGCGCTCCCCGTTCCAGCAGACAAACTCCCGTAGCGAAATTTGACGCACAATTTTTGTTGTGTAGGTCACAGTAAGAGTTAAAGCTTCAATTCCTGTGTCTCTCCTTGATATGCGTCCGTGGGCGGTATGTGCATTATTCTCTTCTATCAATTGACTACAAGTGTAACACCTGTCCAGGGCGAGTGTCCAAGGTAAGTGCTCAACAGGGGCACTGCGTTTCACCTGACGCGTCCTAAACAACCTAAAATCAGTTTGATATTCCTATTACAATGAGTACATTATTAGTCAAAAGCTTTATGAATACTAAATTGAAGTTTTTTTTAGGCTGGAATGGCAAAAACAACCATGCAGCAAGACATTTCTACGCAAATATACAGCTTTAGAAGTCAATCAACCAGTATAGCCTAACTACTAAAATGTAACACATAGCACACGTTAGCCTTTTCAGCAAAAACAATCACACGTATAGGCAGTTTGTCACAGAAGCAGACGCATGGTATCAGTCCGTCGCCCTCCTGCCGGCCGCACAGTAGCAGACGAACAGGTTATAGGTAGCGCCACCTACGGCGAGCGATTGAACGAGAGCGGGGACACGCGCTCCCATAGGAACCCCGCTATCTGAACAGGTCAGGAGTGTAGTAGGTCATGAGCATGGGAAAGATGGGTAGTACACACCTTTTTCCTTCCTCCGTGCATTTGTCTAAATATTCATACTTCTGGCCTGCTTCTGGCTCCGTGTGTGTTCAAGTGGCTTGGAGCTGTGTTTTCACGAAAACATAAATTACCAAATGTTCACCATTTACGCTTCACAACCTTATTTTTTTAAGCTTACTATTTTGAATCAAGTCCTTAAGTTCAAAAGGGTTTGTTTTTTCTTTCAAAACGAAACCGTAACCAGTAATAAACGAAGCCGCAAGTACGATTCGCCGCCCGCAAGTACGAAGACTAGGCAAATGTGTGTACTACATACTACCCATCATTCCCATGACGGAGGAAGGATCAATCGCAGCGTCAGAGTGCCCTCTAGTTATTTTTGAGAAACTCAATGTTGTTGTGTATATGAATTGCTAGACAAATACGTTTTGTGAACGCTTATGCTGTATTGTTACTCCTCACTTTTGCGCGTTACCTTTCTTGACAACAAGTGTGGACACAACTACATAAATTGAAGACAACTCTATAATGTAGACAAATACTACGCGAAAATGTTCCAATAAATGATAAGAAACTTTTGTTATTTTATTTGTTGCTGCAACATTGTAAATGGTTCCTTTATTTTTGAGGTGGCAGATGTAGCCTTTGAGATATGTAAACGTGCGTTGTTGGGTCTCGAAGGTTGAAATTGCTTCTCAAAAGTTTGATAAAATCCCAAAAGATGTCGCTATATGTTTAGGCAGAATTACAATTCATTGTTATCATCATCAACCTCATCGTCTAAAGTCACTGGAAACATTTTAGTGACTCTAATTTAGCCTAGAGTTGCTGTATATGTTACTGTAAATAGAATAATCTAGTTTAGTCATGGTAGGGCTAGATTGCACTTGCCTGTGTGCTCGCTTCTAACGGCCTTTGCATGTATAGCCTTCGAAATTGTAGACGTGCGGCACCGCGCGTTTGCAATCTCAAAGGTCATGTTCTCATTTATTGTAGTTTATGCCTCTCGCCACTCCTTTGAAGAGAGCGCTGCGGCCCTGACCCTTTTCCACCACTCCAGTGCGCGCAACGCCACCACATGAGTTCGCGCGTGCTTCTCCACTCAACGCGCGCAGAAAAACAAGTTGCTTAATCGTTGAAGGCACACAAATGATTTATGACATTGCTCATACCTGATGATGCTGGGCTGGAACCCATATACCTCTGAAGAGTGCACTTTGCTGGCAGTGTCACAAGCCTCGAAGTGCGTGCATGATCGTAGCCGCTTTGTGACAGAAAGCGCCATATCACACACCCCTTACAAACTCGTTTGAGTACGCTGAATGCTTTCTTCCGTCACATTCTATTTCATACAAAAGAAACACGGCCTTTTGCTCTCCTTTCTATGCATCTGTTGCGACTTTCTGAACACATGCGTAGTGCTTACTTTCGCGATAATATTGGGCCACATTTTTCTCTTCTTTCAGCAATGCTGCACCTTCTCGCATTTTGAACGTTGGTGCGACACTTGGGAGCGCAATCGTCCTATCATAGTCTGGTATCGGCCCACGCGACGAGAGTCGCTGTTTATTGTTTGCGTGCAAGCACTTACTGCTTCTTGTTCAGTGAAAGCGTCTTGTGAAGTTGAAACATCCAGATCTGTTTCGTTTGTCTCCGCTTCTCGCTTCCTTGATATTTGACGTAGGGGCGAAGCTCGTGAAGTAGGATCTTTGCGAGGCTTCTGTGCACTTGAAATCAAGTAGGAAGGATAATCCTCGGAAAAAAGGCTTGGAGGCCCGGAGTCAGGATGCCTTTTCTGATGCGGAACGCAAGCCCATAGTCTTCGTCGCGCAAGTATCCGCTGCATATACGACAGTCGAGGCAGACTTGTATTTGATGTTGAGGTTGTCTCTCGCAATATTATTTAGTCACTTGACCAACAGGTCAGTATTGTTTGGGAATTGGTGATAAGAAACACCCAGTGTTTTCCCCCGAACGGGGATTGTAATACGGAACACAACAATACACCATCACACAGCTAATAAATACATATCCATGTGCGTAATGCGCGTATTGAACGTTGTGGGACTGCCTTCTCGACTGGAGAAATCACTGTAGACTCAGCACTGACAAAACGCCGAATGACGATGAAATGCAGCCGTGGTAGGTGAATCCTCCCCCCCCCCCCCCCCAAAAAAAAAAGCAAGCCACAATAGAGATAAAATGCAATTGACAGCTACCTGCTTGTAGCGCTAAGCCACAAAAGAATTTATACAGATTTTTCAGAAAAAATAAGCTGCTTACTTGCCGAAAAGTTGTAATGATGTCAATTTCTATTTCTGAACAAGTTGTTCTGCGAACTCGAAGGATAGCGCAGAACTGATTTGCACTAGAGTTTTAGTTCCGGGGCAAGCGACTTGGGAGCGTAAGCAGCTGCGTACTTCGTGCGCATTCTTCATGGACGTGGCATGCAGTACAAAGGAATGCAAAAGGGCTTGCGGTATCCGGAATCAATATTTCCAGGTGGTGTTAACACCTTGACAATGCACACCACTAC